GAGTACCTTCTCGTACTTAAGGTTTTATTCCCACTTGTTGCAGATGGACAGATGTATTACGGCTACTGCATCAACTGTCTTTATCCTGCGATGGGTGATGCTTAGGACCATGGGCATGGTCATTCCTTATGTCTCGTCTGATGCTTTTGTTGGAGATGATCATTAGCTGGCACTGTATTTGAACTCCATATGAGTGTGTGTGGTTTTGAACAAATAGCTTCCGCTACTTCTATTTGAACTTGTTTTGTAATAACTATGTTTAAACTCTGATGTATCTGAGATGCGAAATTTTATGTAATATGTGATGGTGACCGCTAAACTTATTACGATCTTGGCTGGTATGTGAGTTGGTTTGAAATCCTTCGTGATTTTACGGACTACCGGGTTATACGGGCTTAAGTTTGCTAAATCGTCTGCTCTGACGGATGATTTTCTTACTTAATTTCGTATAATTGATCGGTTCTGTTACACGGAGCCCCGCCAAACACGCCCTTAAGCGACCCACTTAATGAAACATCTGTACAAATCTTTCTATTTCTAGAGACGATATACATAGGTAGTTGTGTGGATGTATGTTTCCATAGGTGGCTCAAAATAAAGCCACCCTGCGTCCCTGCCAAGAGCAGCTAGTAGTAAACTGAGCCGCATGCATGTAGAAAGCCGGCCAGATGGGAGTGTTTAGAAAAATCAATCGTTTTTCTAGCTAGTAGCAGCCCAATACAAAAATCCGGGCATTGCCTCACGTGATATTAATTCAACCTACATCCCTTTTTTTTAACTGCACATATACATCTATCTTCTGCACAGGTGAAGACAAAGGTGGCAAAAAACAACACGGAGAAAGGAGGCAGAAACGGATTCAGCAGCACGAAACTGGACTGAGTCATGCGGGTCCTTTTTGTCAAGAACATGGAAGATGGACAAACAATCTAAAGTTAACAAGTACAACTGCATGAGCTTTTGTACAGCCTCTGCGCCATTATACACTTGTAAGAGCATCTCTGACAGTTTTCTACTTTTTTCTCCTAAAAACTTATAGTTTGACAACTCCTAAAAAGGTTTGAGGAGTAAAAAAGAAGGTCATCTCTAAAAATTTCTAATAAATGACATATAAAAAATCAAATTTAGAACCCATATAAATTATATTGCGGTTTTTTTTCTTCCACCGTGCTCTTCAGCCCCAGCAGCTCTTTCCACTGCAGACTCCTAGAACCTGACACACACCTGCATTGCTGGCTGGCTGCGACTGGAACACGTACGCAGGCCGCAGTCAAACCTCTCTAGCCGTAAGAGCAATTCAAGTTGACAAATTACCCTGCACGTACGGGAGTGACTCCTCCACCGTCCGTTTCACTGCACCCACGCACGCATGCAATTATGTTTGCAGAAACCCTGCCGTTCCCTCCCCTCAGAACCTCACAGTCTCACACTCCTCTCCTCCCACTGCAGACTCCTGCTTTATAACATCCCTTGCAGTCACCACCCAACCTCAAGCTGACCACACTTCACTGCTACTACCTCCTGCAGGCTGCAGCACACACTAGCGGCGTAGGAGCAGGTGCACGCGCACGGCGGGCGCTAGGTCGTGTACGGCGCAGGAAGAAGGTTTTCATCGTGTCTTCGTCTGTTCGTCGTCACTCGATCGACAGTTGAGGAGTGTTTAGATGGCACGTACGTGTTGATATGTACAACCGGTAGCAGGTGCCGCCGCCGCAGGCCCAGCAGCAGCTCATGGCGCCGCCGCGGATGTCCTTCTCCAGCGACTTCGCGCTGGAGCCGCCGCCGCCGCCGAGGCCGCCGGGCCGCGCGGACGCGGACTTCGAGTTCTCGCCGGCGGGCAGCCGGCCCATGATGGACGCGGACCAGCTCTTCTCCAAGGGCCGCATCCTGCCGCTGCGGGAGGCCGGGGCGCGGCCACCGACGACCCTGCGCGACGAGCTGCGCGCGGCGCCGGACGCCGCCGACCGCGGCCACCGCGGGCTTGCACGGTGGAAGGAGCTGCTGGGGCTGGAGAGTCGAAGGATACGCGCGAGGCTGCGGTGTGTAAAGTTACGCGGACGAAGTGATTTTTTCCGACTCCTAGAATATTAGGAGACTGTATTATGAGTTGTTAGAGTTGAATTTTTTTAGATCTTTTTAAAAATTTAGGATTAAGAGAAGGTTTAAGAAACTCTCGGAGATGCTCTAATCTCCCTAGTGATGTTGCCTGCACGACCTGCGTGCTGCGTGCATGTACATTACATAAAAATTAAGGGAATTTTTTTTTACTTTCTGCGTTTCATTTTGTCTTATCTTTTTCCAAAGTCAAGTTTCACCAATGTGAAAACCCAGTGCAGATTGGCCCCGATTTTGTGAGCAGTTCAGAATGATTGGGGTGGTATATTATTAGTTAGATATGGAACAGTCAAGAGCTAGTAAATACTAACGGGATATAATAAGAAATATCGAATGAAAAAAAATACAAATGCTATAATTGCATAGCAGATGACTCTTTATCTGACTCTCCTATTAATCCTTGGAAGATGACTAAACCGAAGATTGGTCGCAAGTCAGTCTCCTCGACGCCCATGGCGGCATTGCCCAATTCATGGGGGAACAAGGACCTCCACTTGTTCTGCTGTAAGCATCGTCTCTGTATGATTATCCTGTTGTGCCTGGCTTTTGAGCAACTTATTTCAGAGAATGAACAGTGCTACATCACAACGAGTGAGCAGTACCAGCACAAGGCCTACCTTGGAGAGACGACCCATTCTAAATTTCTAATGAGATGGGCATTATATTGCTCCCTCGAAGCATCTAGAGGGTAGAGGCAGAGTGCAACACTTTGCCATGCTCCTCTGAATCCCGTCCGAGTAACATAACCAAAAAAAATAGTTAAGATGGGCATTTCTTAAGTTAGTTGTATTAGTTTTTGCTTGGAATTGGATGTTTTTCGTCCCATAATTGTTTGGTTTTTGGACTAGTTTCTAGTAAGCGGCGGTTGTTTTCCATTTCTCCTAATAAAAACTATGGCAAAGCTTTAGCCGTTCTTTTGGTGTTGGAAGAAAAAAAAACCGTGGGCAAAATAGCAGATGACACTCTGGACTCCGCTCAATTAGGTATTGTGAAGCACGAGCATAGGAGATTTGGCGCCGGATGAATCAAGCACACTCAAAAACCCTGCAGATGGAAGTCGCCAGTGAACTCAACTGGACAAGCCAAACTTTCTGAAAGGCTCGCACACAATCGTAATACACAAAACTTTTGGGCTACAAATCTTAAACAGCTCCAATGCCTGCAACTGGTTCGCATCGGACCCCCCCCCCCCGCATAAGATCCCATGCCACGCGTCCCGCAGCCCACGACCGATCCCGCGCCAGCTAGTGACCGCGTCCGACCATCCGCGACTCGATCCCCATCCCAGTTACGCCCCCGGCGTCAAGCCCGCCGCGCTCATCCCCCGTCGCGCCACGCTCCTCCCCTCGCCGCGACGCCATCTCCGCCGTGCCCCCGTCCTCTACCGCGCTCTGTCTCGGCGCGCGCCCCTTCCCATGTCCTAACGTCTCATCTCCTCTGCAACATCCATCCGACCGCTGCAACATATGCATTTACTATTGATACATACTTGTATAGTCATTGCAACATCTAGATGAAACACATGAAACATGTGTCTAAAACAGCTGAAACATTTGGAACATACATTTGCAACATACGTCTAAAACAGATGAAACGTGTGGAACATACACTTGAAACATACATGTAGCCATTGCAACATATGCAACATCAGATCCTTTTGCAACATCAAGTTGAAACACATGAAACATACAGATGGAACACATGAAACTTACAGATGAAATGCATGAAACATACGTATGAAACAACTAAAACACTTGAAACATATATTTTCAACATACGTATATAGGCATTGGAACATACGCAACATACAGATGAAACACTTGGAAACAAACTTTTGAAACACACCTGAAACAAACACATGGCGTCGCCGACAACCATGGCCTACCTGGTGGAGAACTGCGGTAGCTAGCAAGCGGCGCTCGGGTGCAGTGGAGAGGGAAGATGGTGGCAGGCAAGCGGTTGGGCGTGGTGAAGAACACCGCGTCAGGCAGTCGCTGTGGACCATGCTGCGTCAGCTCGAAGAACTCGCCAGCGAGTGGTGAGTGGCAATGGGGAGACAGGAAAGCAGGCGGCGGCACTCGGGCACAGTGCAGCATGCCGCTGCGTTGTGGCCGCGGCGGCACGGTCGCGGTGGAGCAAGCCACGGTGATGCGGCCACGGAGAGTTGGTTCGATAATGGATGGGTAAACTGTGGTGATTCAAAAAGAAGGTGAGAGCGGTGATTTTTTATTTTTATTTCTGTATAGACAGTGTTGCCTTCTAGTCCGTTCGGATGTCGAGGCCCACCAACGCCCATCCGGGCGAAACGGACACCCTACCCACAACATTATCGAATCTTAAAGGCTAGGTCCAAAGTGTTGGTGCAATTCTCTTTTTCACGCTCAAAGATGTAATACACAGAACAGTAATACACAGAAATGATTGGAATAAGTTGAAAACATAGAAATTTGTCTTTTCCACGCTCAAAATTGTACATATCAAATTTAATCCTCAACAGTTGATGCAATTTTGACATCAACGAGATGATGCCTTACAGAGTCAGACATGTACATTACAGCATCTATATAAATAGCACATATCCTGGCCTCCTTTCGGTTATATTCCTTCTAAAGAGGAACTCAGTTATCAGATTAGACATGTTTCCAGGTCAAATTAGACATGTTCCTGGCACTTGACAAGTATATATCAGTATAAAACACATTGAATTTTGCCACAATATTGGTTTAAGGAACTTATAGACCATTTCTCACTTAAGTTAGAACATGCCAAATGGGTGCAAGTGATGGGAATGAAAACAGAAAACAGACATTCAGAGAATCAAGGAGAACTAGACAAACCGGAATCCTATTTATACAACATGAGAACCTAAGTTTGAAGGGGTAGACCTACGGGTCTCTCTTGATGGAGGGCCAAGACAACCTCCTCTGGTTCATGGCGTCAGCAAGTCCATAGCTCTCAGGGTTGATGTCCTCCACTTGCTTCCAGCTATCGAGCATCGAGCCATCTCTCCACTGAGGTGGCGTCAAGAACTTTGAATCGTCGCTGGAGCCACTTGGGGTCAGTGCCAGAGAGGAATGGCCAACACGTAGTTTCTGAAGAGTAGAAAAGGATTCCCTCATCGCGGACATGGCCTCGAAGAACCGGGTGCAGGAAGCAAGTGCAGCAGGAATAGGTCGCAGCATTTCCTTCATTAAGAGAAATAGAGGAATTTAAACCTATGGCTAATGACAGAGAACATATGTACAAGAAGAATTTAGAGTTGTTGTAAGGCCAGTTAGTCACAATTTATACACAACAAAGTGCACTGTTATCCTGACATGGATTCATGATAAATCTATGCTATCTATAAAAATGAGAACAATAGCATGAACATATTTATCCAAGTGGACAGCATACTCATAGGATGAATTTGTTATGACTACTATTAGAAAAAATAATAATTTAACTTACCCCCCAGACAGCTGGTGACTCCCTAAAGTTTTGGCTCCACTGGAAATCACCGACTGATGCTGTCAATGCCCCATAGTCACTTGCTGCTTTCAGAAGTAGCTCCGAGAATTGTTTCTGAGAAGAGATCAGCACATTAAGCAGGCAAAGCAAGCAAAGAAAATGCATAAGTAGTCGTAGGCCAACATTCTCATGCTGTTTGCCACAGAAATAGCAAGAGAAGAACATTAAAAGATTACCTGGTATTCAGCTTCAACTGGTATGCAGTCAAGGGAATAAGGTTGTTGCAGCCGAGCAATAATGCGATCCTGATAGACAATAGCTGCAATTTTAGATATGTAGATCAACTGGCTAATGCATACACAGCTGCTCTTGACACATCTGACTAAAATAACATATAACCTTGGCGCTCAAGAAAGGAAGAAAGCAAGAATAATAAAATGCAGGTATGTGACTTACATTACCTTGTTCTGAATTACATCTTTCAAAATAGTAGTTATTCTGGCCAAAGATTCACACTTCTTTTCCATCTCACTCACATGAGTCAAATGAGCAATATTTTTATCATCCTGTGGCAAACAAAACTTCATGAATATGACCTATGATAATACCATAGAATCAAAGGAAAAGCTCTGAAAAGAAGCGACGGGAAATGAATATGGCACTATTGAAAAACAGCATGCTGGAAAGTTAATGGGTTCAAACATAAACGGTATGACAACGCTTATTTTCCCTTTTCCAATCCCACATATTACTATATTAGTATGGCATCAACAGTGTTCATGTTCATACATTATCTACTAGGCTAAAAAAGCTTTAGCCTTAAGCTCTTAAGGATATGTGAATATTTTTAATCATTCTTTAAGGACCAGAGTATCAGATTTAGTTCCAATAAGTGTGGCCATCTACCAAATTCATTACTAGACAAAATAAAATTTAGAATAAAAAAAAAACATTCCCTTTGATATGGCCACAACCCACAAGTATTCATGGTAAAGGAATGCTCCTACTAACAGGCAACATGTAGGTATCTGATATGAATAACTGTATCCCCAAAATGCTGTAATTCACTAGGAAGTCTCATCTCTGCCTAGAATCTCATTTCATGAGCAACCAAGCTGGAAATGGCACACTTCACAAAAGGGATCATAATCTGACCACCTTAAATAGGGAATCTAAAGGGTCTTCATTAAGAAAAATGATGGAATGGAAATGTCGCACAGGATCTGAAAAATGTAACACTTGGTGAAAAATTATGAAAGTTTTAGAATGGTGCATGACTGGTGCAAACATATAAAGCCTAACAGCTGGATATCAAAATATCACCTTTCTTCCCTGTAGCTCCACTTGCAAGTTGGCAATGTTCCTCTGCACGACAGTCAGTTCCCTCAAAACCTTCACCAGATCATCGCTTTTGTCAGAGCTAGTCTGATCCTCCTGCGATGAGAGAAACAACGGAGGAGAATAGTAAGGACTTGAGAAACACACTTTTCAAATCACACCATGCCCTGCAAAATCCAGAAGACCATTTGTTCATTGGCATCGCCTCGGTTTTTGCATGCTTGTGTCCAATGTGTCCAGTGCGGACTCCGTATTGTTGGCATAGAAACCTAAATTCAAATTTTTAAGCAACAAATCTAAAGAAAACAAACAGTGAAACAGATATAGCACAACACAGGAATGCACAGTTTTCATTGTATTCGAATTTTGTTCTAAGATCGCAAAGTTTCATAAGATCAACAACTCCGCACAATGAGTATCCTAATCCTTGAGTATCCTAATCCCTAATTGTAGAGCCGTCCCACAAGTTCTCCTCGCAAGATGAACCAAGCTTACGCAACCTCGCTTAATCGAACCAAATGCTAAACCCACCCAACACACGAAATCCGTGCGCTCATGCCACGATTTCGGCAGCGACGCTTAGCTCCGAACATACATTTTCACAACCATTTCGAATTTACCTCTCCAGATGTCCACCGCTTCCGCGAACTGAACCCTACAATTTTGTGCATCGCAACGGAACGTCATCGGACCAAAAGGGCTAGATCCGGCTGAAGCGCGGGGATTCGAACCAAACCCGGCGGGTGCAGGACTAGGCGGCGAGACAGATCCGAGGAGGCGCGGTGGGGTGTGACGGACCTGCGTGGTAGGGGCGGGGAATCCGAGGTCGGCGGCGATGGCGAGCGCCTCCGCCATGCCGCCCAGCCTCTTGGCCGGCTTCGGCTGCGCCGCCGCCATGGCGTCGCCGGCGCCGAGGTCGTGTACAGGGGGGCCGGCCGGCGGGCGTAGGCGGAGGAGACCGCGAGGGAGCGTTTGGCGAGCGAGTTGGGCCGCGCTTCGCTTTCGTTCGGACGGCCGAGTCGGCTTTCTCGGCGACCTCTCATTTGATTTCTGAACCTCCAGATGGCAGCTGCTTACCTCTGAAGGTTATTTAGTTGAATTGTTTGATGTCTGTTTGGTTGGAGACGTTTGAAAACTTTAATTGAATTATTTGCCTTGGCCACACAAATGCAGATGAAGTTTGTTTGGATGGAAAACTGAGCTCGTGATTGATAAGTGAGATATGTTTCATTACTTACCTTATACAAAGACATGAAGCAGTAGTAGGTTCATTAACTTTCATCGGGAGTGTCATTTAAGTCCATCATTTTCGAAATTATATTTTTAACTCTATGAGCTTTTTAAATGGTTCACTACATGTCCATACTCATTTATTTAATCTTAAATCCAACTTACATTTGCAGAAAACCCTCTACTTTTTTTTATCTTCTGCGCGCTCCCTCAACCGTCAATGCCGCTCAGTCCGGCCGAGCCGTCGGCGACGACCGCGCCTTCGCGCGCGCGTTCTGCTTCGGCGAGCGTCATGGGTCCTCCCCCAGCGACTGCTTGAAATGCCTTGCCGCTGCCGCCCAGGACGTCGCCGACGGATGCCACGGACGCCGCGGGGCGGTCTGGCGCGCCGGCTGCTTCCTGTCGTACGCGGACACCAACGCGTCCACGGCCCGCGAGGACGCGTGGCGCGGCTGGTTCTACGACGACGACAGCGACGACACACTGACCGCGGCGCTGGGGACGTGCGTGGCTATCCGGGACGTCGCCGACGGCTCGGCCGGACTGAGCGGCGTGACCGTTGAGCAGGAAGGTGAGCGCGTAGAAGATGAAGGTAGAGGGTTTTCTAAAAATGTACATTGGATTTAAAATTAAATAAATGGGTATGAACCTGCAGCAGTGAATCATTTAAAAAGTTCATGAACCTAAAAATGCAGTTTTAAACTTGATGGACCTAGATGACACCCCAACAAAAATTAATGGACCTCCGGTGTATTTTAATATATATATATCACAAAGTCTATGCATACCCAGTTCTACGTAGCAAATGGTCTCAAAGTTGCAAAACAAGATTAACTAAATTGTATCTCTAAAATTCCTTTGCCCATTTCTTCCGTCCAAACTCCAAAGCAGGAAGCAGTGTTCGTTCTTGTCAAAGTTGATAAAATCAAAGTCTTTTTCGTTAGAAAAATCATGTGTTTTAAAGTGATTCCGAGTTGTGCCAGTAAAATCTTAGAAGCGCCTCTACGGGGTTTTTTTTAAATGACATGGTAAGGGAGCACCCTACATGATTATTGAGAATACTTGGGCATGATGCTTGATATTGTCCACAGAATTTGGCTGATGCTGAAGTTAGCTAGGCCCCGTTTGGCTTACCTTATAATCCATACTATTCATCTTGTTTTTTCAGCCGGAACAGTGTTTCTCTCTCACAACAATTCAGCCAGAACAGTGTTTTTCAGTCAATTCAACCAAATTTCAGCAAGCTGAACGGGGCCTAAATATCGATAAATTTCCTGGCTTCTCATGTGACATCAGCTGGCCAGATCCTGAAGACCTGAACTGCCCTTGCTGTATAGGGTTATGAAACTGATGACGGTGAAATTTTCCATAAAATCCAGCAACATCCGAATTGACAGACAATTGAGCACAGGTATAATGTTTTTTTTTTGAACCCAGCACAGGTAAAGGGGAAACTGAAAGACTTTGTCAAGAAGCTGGGATTCTTCACATGAACATTTGGTCACCTTCAATTCCATGAATTGTATATTACACATTTGCCCAATCTTTTCACCTGGGTTACAGTACAATAATAAGTTGTCATTGCGTGGCAAATGAAACAACAGAGAGCACGAAGATGGCGCTATGATACATTGACGTGACAGAGGACCCCGGTATCAGATGACCCAGAACCAAGCCACAAACGAACCAATGACAAGACCAACTACGAGGAACAACACTATGACAATCCCAGCAGTCTCCGAGTGGTGGATGGGCACGGCCTTGGGCGCGAGGATCATGAGGATGGAGGTCAAGTACCCGTTGGTAAGCCCCAGGAGGCATGTCAGCACGGTGACTGGGATCTCCGTGCGGAAAAAACTCGGTCCGTGCAGGCAGCCGTAGAAGAGCGGGTAGAACAGGAGCCGCGCAAAGGATCCTGCGACTGCAACATTGCCATTCTGGAGGAGGTAGACGGCGGGCAGGGCCTTGCCAACAAGATCAAACACATTGTAGGCGCTGATGAGGAGGATGGGGTACCAGTCCTTGAGCGCCTCGGAGTGCACGTCCTCTGTGATGTACCCTGGGAAAATGGAGAGTGTGACGGCGTAGATGAGGGCCACTCCTATTCCATACCATTTCACCGTCCCGACAATGCTCCACAGAGTCGATCTCCAGGCAGGACCTGTCATGCCACCGCCAACCTCTGCTTTCTGAGCCCTCTTCTTGATGTTCTTGTAGTACACGACGACCGCAAGCCTGTCCGCCACATTGTAGCACACAATGCAGATGATCATGAGCACAATGCCGACAATGAAGTAGATGATCGCGCTTTGCCTTAGCCCATGGGCATCTTGCGGGTAGAGCGCCTTGGTAAAGACTCTCATTGCCGAGACAAGTACTCCTGCAATGAAATCCATGCAGAAATGTACCAAGTGTTAGGATCTGTCGACTAACTAAATCCTTGAAACATCATACACACTGAGAAATACACACAGAAACCACATCCACCAATTGCATTGGCATAGGAGCGTCGTCAAACGATGCCTAAGTTACTTCATTTTCAGTTTATTCAGTTGAATGCTTGTAAGCTTATAATCTGCAATTTTGTGCTCTTAACTTTTTTCAATTCAACTTCCGATCCCCAATATATATCTATTAGTTTTTAGCAAAATACAGACAACCACCTTAATTCGAAGCAATCGAACAACCACGATAGGCCAACACCATACATTCTGCTTCAACCTCTGATGACACCTACTAGCAACTGCCAGTTGACCGTTTTGACTAGAAGCAGGATGAGAGAAATCGTGAAGGAACAATTCAGAAATCAGGTAGCTACAATTGCCAATTCAACTAAGGTGATTTTGAGGAACAATTGACGAAGCGGGTAACTTCAATTGGACCGGGGAAGAGGGGAAAAAAACAAGTACAGTATTAGAAGAGAGGCCAAAAGGGGGAGAAAGAGAGAGAACACTGAACACCTGAGGCGGCGGTTCCGGCGACGACGGCCTGCATGTAGCGCTCGGGCAGCTCCCCCGCGAAGCCGATGACGCCTCCCTGGACGAGCGCGTCCGCGACGCCGCACAGGGCCGTGGCGGCGACAGTGACATCAAACGCGCCGTACAGCCCGGGCGTGCCCTTGACGTAGACGGCGTCCATGGCGGGGACGAGGAGGAGCGCGAACGTGAAGAGCGTGAGCCCCGTGTTGATGCGGATGGGGGCGCTGGACTTGGGGAAGAAAAGCACGATGACGAGCAAGGGAAGGAAGCCGGAGACCATGTACGATATGGAGAATACGCGGTCGACGGGGGCGCCCGGGTAGAGGAAGGCGAAGTAGTCGACGGCGGTGATGAAGGCGTTCCAGGGGAGCAGGAAGCCGGCACCCAGGGTGAAGAAGATGAGGTAAGCGAAGCTGAGCCGGTCGTCCGGGGCCGGGCCCGCGGAGGAGGGATCGTCCGCCAGGGACGACGCCGGCGGGGGCAGCAGCGGCGCCGCCGCCGTCTCCACGTCGCCGCCGGCCATGGTTGTGGTTGGGGATCTCGGATGAGTGGGTGGGCTTGGACCTTCTGGAGTTGTTGCTTTCGCGTGGGGTTTTCTTTGCTTCCTCGTTTGTGGATGTGGATGTGGCCTATTTGTCCCTCTGACAGGTGGGGTTATTATGGTGTGGTCCCGCCGACAGTGATGGGTATCTGGCTATCTGCGGTGTACGTATGTGATTCCTTTGCCTCGGGATATTTACGGGACGTGGTTTTCAATTGATTTATTTCACCTGAACATCTCCTTCTTGAGCCCGAATACCGGGCTGTAGCCGCTAACAAATAATACGAGGGTATTTGAAAGGATCTTCTTCTTAAACCCAAATACCCAAAGGCCATAGCCCGCGCGGATCGAGTTTTTACAATGGTACAAGAATATGAAAGGTATTTCTTTATTTTTTTGCTTAGTAGTATACATGTATAAATTGTGAAATAATATGTAGTAATAATATAAAAATGGAGTTTAAAAAAAGAAATATAAAAATGGTGTATAGACTACATGCTGCAAATTAAATCTTATTTGAGAATTTTTTTTAAATGAGTTCCCTTGGACAGTGTGTTTTGAGATAAACTTGAAATGTTTCTATAGAAAATTCCAAAGAAATCTTAGAAATTGGTTCACAGTAATGTCATTGCAAAATCGGATTAATGAAGTCAAAAGCGCAAAAGGTCCAAAGTAGTATGGTCAAGCGGAGAATTGCGGATATGCTGCTAACCTCTGCCTTCGTGACAATTTTTTTTTGTGCCAAATGATATATGTATATAAAAGAAAACTATTTCCGGCAATGAATAAACAAATAAAATAACGCATGGCTTGCATGCAATGCAAGCAAGGGTAGGTGCGATGAATTGATCAGTGCCGCATGCTTGCTTGCTTTAATACTACTTTATTTGATCGATCACATGGCTCTTAAAGTACAATTTTGGAGGAGATCACAAGCTCCCACTCCAGATTCCAGACTCCAGAATCAAGTCATCCCACTCTCTCTTGCCTTGCAGTTGCAGCGCCCGGCAACGGCATGGAGAATCACGTTCACGGAATGTTTGCGTGCGCGAGACACGTTCTAGTAGGACTGTAGGAGTCCGCCGCAGAACCCAACTACCTACCTCTCCACGTGCGCTCGTGCTCCGGCCTGCTTTGTCCAACCACCGGGTCGGGTGTCCCGGTGCCAACCGGCTGCGCATTCCAGTACGAGAATCGAGAAGCCCCAAAGCCTTCGTTCGGGCTGTGGTGAAAATTGCCTGTACGTTTTGTTTTGGGCAGATTGGGGGATCTGACACGGTTCAAACAGAAGTGAAGCTGCCGTAGCTGATACATAGGTCGTTGATGACAACGAGCAGATTATATCGGACTAGGCTATTTATTTTTCACAACTTCGTTTGGACGTAGGTATTGGAGGGCTTGGAATTGAATTGGGTTGAATACTGAATCAGACTAGTTTTGGAAATGGATACAATACCAAAGGTATTGTTTGGATGCAGATGAAATTGCTAGATAGAATTCAAATGAGTGGTAAATACCAATTAATGTTTGGATATCCATATCATCAAATTAGAATTGACAGACAACATCTCATCCCTCTCGCCGCCTGGTGGAGCGTAGCCACTTGTGAGGAAGGCGAGGAAGGGCAGCTGCTCGAGGCAAGGCAAAGGCCCACCGAGACGATGGAGGCGGGGAGGCGCGGGGTGGCCCGTCGGCGAGGAGGCAGGCGGCCCACCGGCGAGGGGCGGGGGGGCAGCGATTCGATTCCAATGAATCTGGAGGGCCTTGGCTCTGTATCAAGGGTGAAGGGGTGAGAGCGGGACCAATACTGGTTGATATTGAGTTTCATTTCCAATTCCAAATTCCATGACATCCAAACAGCGGCATTCGGAGTTAGCAATTCTAATTCCGAATTCTGAGTCTCAATAACTACTTCCAAACGCAACCTTACAGTAATCGATAAAGTTCTAATTTGGCCTTAAAAGCGCGATGTCCTTCGTCATCATCGGGGTGCCCCTGGGGTCGGCAGTGCCTAGGACAGTGCCTAGGACGTCAACGACCACAAATCTAGTCGAGAGAAGTGTAGAGCAACATGATTATGATTTAAAATGGTAAACTGAAGTAAATTTGTTTTTTCTAATCCATTGGATATGAAGAAAGCAGAGGCCTACGAAAAAAATAAAAAAAAATAAAAAAAAGCATATGCTTCTCACGGCTTATTTTTCTCGTCCGTACCTCTATTTAGAAAATCCATGAGAGCACCGCGAGGCTCGCCCTGCTACTCTTCCCCGCACTGCCTCCATTGAACCTGGGCCCTACAAGGCTGTCTCCAAGAGGAGACCCATCAGGATACTCAAACCCAAAATGGATCTCCAACATAATACCTATAGCCTTTAATAGAGTACCTATATAAAAGACCCATTTTGAGTGTCAGGAGATGCATAACCCAAATCTAAGTATCCTCTCTCCTAGAGACCCATTTACAGAAAGAGTTCTCTTTTGGGTCTTGTTGTCGGAGAAGACCAAAAATAGGTATGAAACCATTTGCCTGTAGCGCTACCCAAATGTGGAATGAGTCTTTTATTTTGGGTAACGGTTGTTGGAGACAGTCTAACAGCCCCGCCTAGCAGGGCTCAGGCCCCAATGACTACCCGCCACGATGGGGGAGGAGGGCGAGGAGCCGACCCCGCGCGGCCCTACCACACCGTTTGTCGTGCCTAGGGGCAGGCAAAGGCACGACCACGAGCAGCGTCTAACCCACTTTAGGCCACCGCGCCGAGGAGCGTGCGACCGCCGCGCAGGTCCTGCCGTGTCGTCCCCTTAGGGTGTGATACATTTCATGAACCAATCCCGACCTCACTCTCGAGGTGCAACCATAGGCTGATTGGTTTCCCGAACCACCATTTGGGTCTGGCCCGTCGGATGCAAGAACGCCTCCCTGGTGTCGGGAAATGAAATCAAAATTCGTTTTTGGTAGGCTTGGCTCGCTCGGCACGACTCAGGCCCTGTTTAGATCCTATAGCAAGACATTAGTTATGTACTTTTAGTCTATTTTTTGCCATCGAGATCCAAATAGGTGGGCTAAAAGTGAGCAAATCCAGAAATCTAAAGAGTAGTCCATTTGCTCCTCATGAGGCCCAAAACTTGGCTAAAACGCCTTGGGGTCGAGCTAGACGCTCAATACCCCCAGCAGGCCATGCATGACTTAATTAAATGAGGGCAAATCAGTCATTATAGATTGGAGGACTAAAGTTTAGCCTATAGATCCAAACAGCTCAGAAGGACTAAAGTTTAGGGCGCTAAAGTTTAGGGGCTAAACTTTAGTCCATGGCAAATGGATTCAAACAGGGTCTCACGCGCTCGACACTCTCTTAGCGCGTGCACAAGGCATGCAGAAAGTTAGCTAACTAATGGGTTTCTGTGATGAGACTGGCCGGATTGAAACGCAAACCAAATAAGGACCAGTTTGGATGGGAGAGCTAGTTACTAGTTGGGCAAATAATTAGCTCAAATTAGTCAAGGTTGGCTACCTAGTTGGCCAATAACTAATTGAAGACTTGTCTAAAAAATTAGCTCACCTATTAGCCCTCCTGTTTGGATGCACTAGAGATAATTTGAGCTAATAATTTTTAGCTAGCTAGTGATTAGCTCTTGTATAAAAATAGGCCCTAAATGATGTTGCATGCGAAAGACCTGGTCCACAACCAATATCGCCCTCAGCAGCGGCAAGCAAGTGGCGAGTCATGGCCGCAAGGACTGTGCAACGCTAGAAGAGAGAAAATAAAAGGGAATTACTAGTGCCCGGACATCCGAACAAATGTACGCGTCTGGATGCCCGCGGCTGCTGTAGGCCCGCACTTCCCCCTCCGCTTCCGTGCCCGCAGCCGCGCAGTGCTCCATCCCTCTGCATTACGAATATAGAACGAGTGTTATTTAGCTCAAATTCATTTTAAGAATGTTTACGGAGAATAGAGGGACTCCCACTTGTCTATAGCTGTGGTGAGAAGTATGGGGTCAAGGGCCGAAAGACCGGAGTTCACAACCAGGACAAGCTCGAGGAAGCCGACACGCCATATATATGGCGCGTAACGCCCGTCCCATAGTTGTGCCCTGTTGTACGTGCGTGGCCTCAAAGAAGTCAAGGCCACCTCTACGTCGCTATCGGTCAACACGTGAGCTCGATGCTCGTCGTCGTAGGCCACCTCAAGAATGGGGTACAACAGATGCTGCTTGGCCATCCAGGTTCAAATTGATAAACAAAGGGTTAGAACAAACATTATTAATAATACACTATTGAAATTAACATTAAGTAGCATTGCAAAATTTTAACTAAATGCTATGCAACATGGAGAAAATATGAAAGAACATGTACATATTGAAAGTAACATTAACAAAAATATCAAACAAGTTCACTAGGAAAAAGCAAGTTCTATGTATGGACCTGCTACCCTTGTCTTCTGTGCCTGCTAACCTTGTGACCAGGTTCTTTGCAAACGGAGCAAAGATTCTTGCCATGGGACTCGTTGAAGTCTCCCCCCCATACTTGTCCCCCTTGAGTCTTTGTCATATCCTCTCATAGCGTCCATGTCTCCCTTGAGTCGCTTCTTCTTCCTCCTACCCTTCCCTACCTTTATTAGGTCTGGATATGGCACGTAGTCATAACCATGATAAGGGGGCCACTGTGTCGGGTCAAGGTACGGCTTGAAGCTCCTTTCATAAATACTAAGGGTGTTCGAACAGAGATACAAGGGTGACATATATGGCAGATGCTTGAAGTCATATCCGCGGACCCTGCAGGCCATGATCATGGAAGAGTAAGGGGCAAGCATGATCTGAGGGACGTTGCAACTGCACTCTACTTTGTTAAGATCAACTCGGTAGTTTCATTCACCATAACGTTCGCCGTCCAAGCTTGTGCCACCCTTCCCCCGTACACTAAAGGAGGTCCATACGGCTCAGCGGTATACTGCTTGGATAATTCCTCGGTCTTCTTTAAATGTTCT